GACAGGTTACACCACTGTGTAGAAGTTAAGTTGCTTTTGAATGAGAGGACACATAGATGGTGGAGAGGGTTAAAAAAGAGGCAGTGTTGAAAGTTTCCTGTTGTTTTGGAGTCCTTGCTATACTTGCACTACCCTGTCCTCTGAGCAGACCCTCGCTGGGCATTTATCCCCATGTGAAAACTGTACCTAGAGATTCTCTGTCCCTCCTGGAAAGAGGTAAAAATGGAGAACGGTGTAGTGGGAACATTGCCAGGTAACCTGCTTGTGGCCTGAAGACTTAACAAACAGGCCATTCATGACCCATTGGAGAGATTGAAGGATGGGGAGAGGAGAAGGACGGTACTGTTTGGGGTGGCTCCTGTGTTGAGCTCTGTGCAAGGTGTAGTCAGGTAAGAGTTATAATTGTATGGTGAATTTACCCCAAAGAAGCAATCACAGTTGATCCCAAAGATTAATGTGCTGCCTGTGTACTATACGTTATATACTGTGATAAATACTGGAGGGAAGACATTAAATTATGAAGCTCCATATGATCAAGTAGTTTAAATCAATGATATGGGAAAATAGTCATAGAATATTAAATGAAAAAATTTTCTTGCTAAGCAGTATATATAATAGATCTCAATTTCCCAGCAAAATTAAATATGCATATGTATTATTGGAACAAGGATACATTAAAAAATTTACAGTGGTTATTACTTGCTTTTACATTATGTGTAATTATCTTTTTCATTTATTTCCCAGTTTTTTAAAATGAATATACTATTTTTAATAGAAGTAACATGCCATTATAATATTTGAATGGTATGTGTATCCTTTAAAAATGATTACTTTCTCTCAGTATAGTTTCCTGGTTCAATATAGTTTGGATTGATTTTCTTTTATTATACAATCTTCCTTGTTTTATTTTCTGATTATATTTAAGAGACCTTTCAAGGCAAGTAATTAGTAAATATTTATGAGCCATCTACTCTGATAAATATGCTTTTGGTACATGTTTTTCTACTATAGCAGCACCTGTAGCCTGGTGGTCCAAGGTTAGTCTCACACAGGTAGATCTAATATGAAAGTTGTACATTAGGCTTTATGCATTGTTATTTTTTTAATCTTTTGGCAATATTTCATTTAAACTTGTTACCTAGAAACAAATGCATATATAATTTAAAAGCATTACAATTAACTTCAGAATATTTAGTTTTTTCAGTTAGTAACATAATTTATTGGGAAATCATTTGACATTTACTTTAAAAATACCATTAAGAGTTTGGGCTGGGGATTTAGCTCAGTGGTTCTGCTGCCTGCTTTGCAAGCACAAGGTCCTGAGTTTGATCCCTGGTACCAAAAAAAAGAAAAAAAAAAAAAACCCAAAATAAACCAAGCCATTAAGGCTCTCTTCTTATCTCTGAAAGCAGAGATACCTCGAGTTAGATAACTTCCATGACTTTTTAATGGTCTAATTGCCAGCCCTTTGATACTATGCTTTTTGACATTTACATTAAAAATAAAAATTAGCTAATTTGTAAGTTATAAGGTCTTTTAAAAAAGTTCATTACACTTTCATGCCTGTTAATACATCTATTAAAATTCCTATATGCCTTATTAAATTAAATGCAGTATTAGAGGCTAACTGATAGCAATTATGTGTGATATCTGAAGTCAGTTTTTAGTGTCTATGAATTGTAGGGATTGTAGATGAGAGCATTAATGGTGGATGAAGTCCATTCTCTTGCTATTATAGAGGATGCCTATGAAATACACTAAGTGTTAATGTACTTGAAATGAGGCAAGCTGGCAGGTGTCCCACATCCGAGCCATGGACCTTTGTGAGGGTGACTGTCGCATACAGCGCTGTCTTCGGTTAGTAGGAAGGAGCCACACGTGACTGGGAGCAGGCAGGCCATGTGCTTGTGGTATGGTTTAGAAGTAGCATTGTATTCTTGGAGACTCAGAAACCAGTATTAGTGTGATTTTATTATAATGTAAAAAGTTACATCTCACCAGTCAGTATAATTTAAACGGAACAAGTATGAGGTTTGGAATAACTTATATTGTCTTTTCTGCATAATCCAGGGTTGAATCTGAGCTCCGCATGCCTCTGGTCCAGTGTACCCCAATTTCCACCTTATTAAGCGGGGGACAGACTACATGGGAACTCAGGACTGCTGAGTGATGGTGGTAACACATATAATGTTGCTGTTGTGAACTATTCCTAGTCCGGTGTCAGGTTTAAAACCATGAAATAGTGTACCAGGGTGAGATTGGGGGTGAGGAACTGTTGGGGAGGCAGTGCCCACCAGTTCTAGGAAGAGTCCTGTATAGAAAATCAGATTCTAGACACTGATTCCTTGAACTGTGTATAGGGACTGCTGGGCCCCTAAAGGACATGGTGTTCTCTGTGCTGCCTGTGTCTCTGCACTGGTTCCCTTCTGTCCCTTAAGGTGCCTTGGGGCTGTGGTGGAGCTGCTTTCCTCAGAGGTTTGTCTCAGGCTCACTGACCTCCAGAAGTGGGGCCCAGGCTGTGCCTTTGGGAGGAGGTGACACACCTTGTCATGACAAACTGCTTATGGAGGCTTGTGTGAGTTTATCCATTTTGTAGGGTGGTGATGGTGGTTTTCTGCTCTTGGGGACTGTCTGGCTGTAACACATGCCCCGAGGTCTCAAGTCTTCCTGTAGCACCTGCCACCTCTTCCTTTGGAGGTGAATGTGTGAGTCTGGGCTCATCCTCCTGCCACAGGTCAGGTAGAGCTGTGGGGACCGGCACTCACTGGCCAATTCACAGAGACCACATGTTGTCAGTGTCATGTAGCACGCATACTCTTTAGTCTACTCGTCATTGCTTTTGGGATATTATACGGATGCTCCTAGGCAAGACAAAAACAAACAAAAAGGCTGTTTCCAACAACAGTTTGATTCTCAGTCACCCAGCCACCCCTCATTCCTGTGTGCTTGGAACTACCACTTCGCTGGTGGTGAGGCTTTGCCCAGACAAAGTTTGCTTATCCTTGGAAGCCAGAAGTGATCAGAGTGAATTAAAAATACTTCATTAAAAATAAAAGTATTAACTTCAGCTATAATTTATTAGGGAGGGTAATTGGCGAAAATTGATTTCATAATTGTTTTTGGACCGTTATCTAATTCTTAATATAGCACAGAAACACAAAGAAATGGTTTTACCTGTTTTTTTTTTCCTTTGGTAACTGTGTTGCCAACACTGCCCATTTTTTGGAAACCCAAAGTGTCTGTCCAGCTTACAGCTCCTTCCAGACCGAGTGTCATGTTCCCAGCACCCCTGGAAAGCGCCAGTGAAGCCCTGTAGAGCCCTCAGGTCAGGAAGAGCAGTAACCCTGGCATGCATTTGTGACCAGGTTCAGGCAGGGGCCCAGTGTCTTATAGGGAAAAAGGTTTTTTTTTTTTTTTCTGATTGCTGGAGCATTAGCTATGGAGTTTTCTTATCTGGTAAGTCGAGTGATACTCAGGGAAGCGTTTCTTCTCTTGGACCATGGAAGCCCAGATAGATACTTAACTAACTGCAGATGGTTTTGTGGTGCTTCACAGCATGTACTTCTGTAGAGTGGGCCAAGACGATACAGCAGTGGTCCTGTAGCTCTGCTGATGTGACTGCAGCATCCTAGAGGGAGGCTCAGGCCTTGCCTTTTCCACAGCTCTGGCTAGGGCTTTGAGAGGGGTGGGCGAGCTGTGGGGTGTACCAGGGACCTGTAGATTTCCCCCAGGTTGGCAGTGTTTTGACTGACAGGACAGACAACGTGATGCAACATCTTGCAGTGGGTAAAAATTTGTCTTTGCCTGTGGTAGAGCTTGGCCGATGGGTGTCTGTGCCTTGCTGCCTGGATCCCCTGCCGAGTGATGCCTTTCAGGAGGGTAATACAGGTGCTGGAGGGAGCTCTTGGCTTCAGCTCCAGTGTCAGACTCAGTAAGCTGTTCGTGGCTCAGGGACAGTGTTTGCACAGGTTGAGTGGTCACTCTGTTACTCATTTTTAGAAAAGTACTATATATAATCTGAATCCAGAACCCTCATTCTGTTACATCTCAGGACTTAAAGGCATGTGGCTGCTTCCCCACATTTTTCAGTGTTATTGGAACTAATGGATTTGAGGTCAAGGAAATTGCTCAGTAAAGCAATGCTGAATTAAGTTTAGATGGACAAGCTAAAAATCCCAGGGTTCGGAGGTCTTTGGGGGGAACTGCAATAATTGCTAGTCAGATCCCAGGCTTGTTTCTCTGATGCCCTCCATGGGTGCCTACACACCCAGGCCCAACAGGCTTTGCAGCAGGCTTATTCCTCTGACCTTATTGTCTGGGTCCATTTCCGTCTATCTTGATCATCTTGGCCCATTGTGGTTTGGCTCTCCAGTCTTTACATGCTGTGATCCAAATGTGACACTCCCTCCAAATTCATATGTTAAAATCCTTACCCCCAAGGTGATGGTGTTAGGAGGCAGAGCCTTCGGTAGATTAGGTCATGAGCGCCCTCACAAATGGGATAAGTACCCCTAAGAAACAGTCCTTAGAGAGACTCCTTCCACCACGTGAGAGGAAATAATGAGAGTATGTCTTCAATGAACTGTAATGTGTGTCCCTACCAGCCACCAAATCTGCCAGTCTCTAGATCTTAGATGTCCAGCTTCCAGAACTGTGGAAACTAAACTTCTGTTGTTTATAAATTCTGTTACAGCAGCCTGAGTGAACAAAGATACTGCATAGGACATCTGTATATTTCTTAGGCCTTATGTATGGATCACAGGTATCTCTGAGTAGGTCGCAATGTTTAAAAGATTGTTGACCACGGAGAACAGGCTTATCCTTGAGAGCCAGACTCATATCCAAGGTCAGGGCCAGGCTGAGGATGAAGGCAAGCTTTGTTAACATCAGGTGCAGCCTGTAGCTTACATTGCTTTAAAAACCCGAGATGCAGAGAACAGATTTCAACGTGAGGGATTGATTGGTGCTGTAAAAGTGTTTTTTCCATACTGTAGGCTCAACCCATCTACAAGGAATTCTCATTTGAGGTTCTGATTCTGCCTCGGACATTGCTCAAGTTCCCACTGTCTAGGTAAGCCTCCCTTACCCACATTTGGACAGCACTAGCCTGATGCTTCTTCCTACTCCCAGATTAAGTCTTGTGGCTTTTTTTTTGTTTTTGTTTTTTTGGTTTTTTGAGACAGGGTCTCACTATGTAGTTGAGGCTGACCTAGAACTCACTATGTAGCCCAGGCTGGTCTCGAACTCAGAGAAATCCTCATGCCTCAGCCCCCAGAGTGCTGGGATTACAGGTGTGCACCACCACACCTGACAAGTCTTGTGGCTTCGTCAGGCTGAGGTTTAGGTCACTGAGTGCCACTACCAAGGATGCTGTTGCTGGGCCTCTCTCACTATGTAGTTGAGGCTGACCTAGAACTCACTATGTAGCCCAGGCTGGTCTCGAACTCAGAGAAATCCTCATGCCTCAGCCCCCAGAGTGCTGGGATTACAGGTGTGCACCACCACACCTGACAAGTCTTGTGGCTTCGTCAGGCTGAGGTTTAGGTCACTGAGTGCCACTACCAAGGATGCTGTTGCTGGGCCTCTGGGGACCCCCTGTCCCCACCTTATACCCTTCTTTCCTACCTTTGGATCATTTCTTTTTGGGACTATGCCCTGGCCAAGTCTGTTGTCACAAGGTTCCCTCACCCCCACCATTCCTGTTGTTTCAGCATGGCACTTGGTGTATACCTCACTGCACTGTGTGCTCAGTGGCCTCTCCCTGCAGGCTGCATGCTCTGAGGGGAGGGAGCTAGTGACCATCTTATCCTTGTAGAGCCCTGGTTTACAGCTCAGTATCAGGCAGGCAGCACATTTTTTGTGGAATGAATATGTCATTTTCTAATATATTTTAGTGATTCAGTCCTGGTGTACTAGTCAGCCTTCATGCCTCTGGGATACAACACCTGATGCCCACAATTTAAAGGAGGAAAGGTTTAATTTGGCTCACAGTTCGGGAGGATTCAATCCATGGTGAGTTGGCTCCAAGGCAAAAGCATGATGGTAGAAAGGCATGGAGGAGGAGGAAAGATGTTCAGTTTATGGTGGCCAGGAGGCAGAGCACAGGGGAACAGTTCTTTTCTTCTGTGTTTGCCTGAGTCCCCACTTGGAGTTACTCTTGGCAGAAGATGAGTGCAGAGCTATGTTCTCTTAGATTCTGTCACATGCTTTTGGTCATGTGGGTGTTGGAAACCTCATCTAGTGCAACACTATTGATGTTTGGTTGTTTTTCCTGAGGGTAACTAGATTGGAAGGAGCGAGCAGAGGGCTGTGAATGTGTCGTCAGCTCAGGTTGGGTGCAGAGGTACTTCGCTTCTGCCCTGACTTCACTGAGGCTGCTTGGTATGAAAGCCTGGTGCATTCTTGTCTTTCTCCTCCTCCTCCTGTGTCTGGCCACCACCCTTACCTTAGGGTGGCTGTTGACCTTTCTCGGCAGAGGTGACATTGAAGGCTTCTTAGTGAATGGGGACAGTTTTAGAAGCTACAAGGGAAGTCCCTTCTTCCCTGACGATGGAACTCTGCAGGAGATTGTCAGCCATCGTGGGAACATAGTATATTGACCGGTTAACATTTGGTTTGCTAGTGTTTTTTAATGCCTTTGATCTCCCATACTAGCACTTGAATATCTTCCCCCATTCATGAAACTAGGCATTTTTAATCCTTTGAAATTTTTAAAGACATAAAAACTTAACATTTCACATATCTCTAAAAGGTAGGGCTTCATGTTTTAGAGAGCATTGGAAGAAAATGGTGAGTCACTACACACATTCTGATTGCAGAGATATAGAGGTTTGAACGCAAGCATGCCTTCACCCTCGCTCTCCCCCTTGGTTGGGAGTCTGTGTGGAGAGTGGATGTGTGGAGGTTGGCGCCGGGAATGCCTTTCTAGAGCACAGTGAGGCCTTCGGGATGTGAACTGGGTGCATGGGGTCAGTGAGATCGGGATTGCCCAGACTGTGGCCTTCCTGCTTTGCGCAGAAGGTGACATCTGAGAAGAGGTGGAACCCGTGGTGGGTGGCAGCGGTGATGGTAGGGCATGGCTCGGAGTCTGCTTCCAACCTTCATCTGCCCTTCGTTGGTGAGGCAGCTGGGAGAAGCCCTCTTCCACCAGCTCTTCAGGTGTAGTTAGGGACCCAGAGCTGAACATTTTCTTTATTTATAGTTTAGCCTAACTTTTGGTCAGTTTGTCAGTGTGAGGTCTGCTTTGTTGCTCAAGGCTTTGAGCTCTCTGCACAGAGGGAAGCAGATGAGCGAGGTAAACACTTGAGCAGGAGGGGTGGCCCTCACCCACATGTCCCACAGCCCGTGGGCCACCAGGGCCTGGCGTGAGGCGGCTTGTGGGAAGGACCCACGTGCTTCCTGGCCACCTCCCTGCCGTGCAGCTTGTGCTCTGTAGTGCGAGCACTTTGCTGGGCTTCTCTGGTGTCTTCCTGAGAGTGGCTGCACATTGCAGTCCCTGAGGCTTGTGAGAAAGTCTGAGTGCCTGGCCTTCTACAGTCTTCTTAGTGGGACGAGTGCAGCCTGGCGTGGGAGTTAACAGCCTCTGAGGTGGCAGGAAGGGCTGTGTGGCCGCCCGAGGATACTCCTGTCTGGTACCTGGTGGCTGGCACCCCTCACGGTGACCTCCTCTCAGACTCTTTCCACTCTTGTGCAAGGGCATTGTCAGCGTGCTTGAGGGACTTGAACTGAAAAAAGTTAAGTAATGTTAGACTGTTTCAGATCCAAGACAGAACTCGTTAAATTTAGCAGGCTGGGGCTATTTCAGGTGGTGAGCCTGGGAAAGCTTTGTGGGAAGATGGACCCTGTTGTTTTTCCTAAGACGTTAAAGGAAAGTGTGAACACGAGGCTGGGTAAGGAGGCATTCATTGACTTAAACTCCCTGCAGCACTGGTCCAGGAAGAGCTTCAGCCAGGACAAGAGTGAGGGTATAGTCTCAGACTCCGGGTGATGGCTCTTGTGGTTAGGGACGGAAAATGAGGCCGAGCAGGAGTCCCGCCTGGCCCTCTGGTGCCAACAAGGTGGTCCTGTGTGCTTCCTTCACTCAGCTCCTCTGCTCACTTCCCTTCGCTTTGACTGGCTCCCCAGCCTGCTGTTCAGTCTTACTCTGCCTCTTCGTCCCCACTGCTGCTCATGCTGCGGTTGCCCTGGCTGCCTTCCCCTTCCATACTCTTCACTTTCTAAGTTAGCAGCTACCTAGCATCAGTGGGAGTCAGGTCCTCCGAGGACTGCAGGGGCAGGGGAATGTGTGGGCCTGGGCGGGGCTCTAAGCTATTGCAGGGGCTGGGGCAGGTTGTGGGAGACAGGTTACCAGAGTGTCTTGGGGGACACACCCTGGGCAGAGGTCAGGGCTGACTGGGTGCTGAGCTTGCCATGTGGTTTTAAGGAGCCCCCACTGGCATTAGATTAACCCCTCAGATGGGCTGGACTGTGCCTGCCCAAATAAGTTGTCGGCCCTTTGCGTGTCCCTACAGAAGAAGGCACCTTGAGGTGGCTTTTCTAAAGACATTCCCATGCTGTAAAACCTGCTTATTTGGCACAGTTTTAAAATGGAATATCCTTATTTTGTTTTGTGTGTTGCTGAGAATTTGTATCTGTTAATTTAGTTTTGACAGTTTGTTGGAAATTCTTGCCACTCTGCTAACTTCCAAGATGCCTAGCAACATGTTATAGTTTAGACAGTTTTCTCTCTAATCTTTTTAATGAAACCATAATAAATCATATTACGAAAAGCACCCCGCAGACAGTCAACCCAGAGTGACTCCAGAATTCCTTGTGCTGCAGAGTTGCGGTTTTTACTGTAGCATGGTTTCCGGGTATGGGGTTGAGCGCAGCCTGGAGGGAAGCCAAGCTTGTGTGGGAGCACAGCTGGAGGAGGGGAGTGTGCGGGAGGGGATCCTGGGCTGTGAAGTGTGCTGTGCCAGCGCCTCCTCCATGGGAAGGACTCGCAAATGTGGCCGTCACTGTTACTCCCATGAGGGTGTGGGGCCCGCATTGGACCAGACACCTCTTCTTTCTTTCTTTTCTTTTTTATGTTTAAGGTTGTGCTGGGGATCGGACCCAGGGCCTTCACACTGAGCTACGTCCCTGGCCCTTTTTATTTTTCATTTATTTTATTTTTTATTTTGCCCAGGCTGGGCTCAAACTTTTTTTTTTTTTTTTAAAGGGTCTCTGAGCTACGTCCCTGGCCCTTTTTATTTTTCATTTATTTTATTTTTTATTTTGCCCAGGCTGGGCTCAAACTTTTTTTTTTTTTTTGAGACAGGGTCTCCTATGTAGTTGAGACTGACCTGGAACTCACTATGTAGCCCAGGCTGGTCTCGAACTCACAGTGATCCTCCTGCCTCAGCCTCCTGAGTGCTGGGATTACAGGCGTGGGCCACCATGCCTGGCTGGGTTCAAATTTTCAATGCCCCTGGCCCTGGCTTTGCCTCCCAGACTGCTGGGATGACAGGCATGCTCCACCATGCCCAGCTCGGACACCTCAACTTTACATTTTAAGTAGAGCTCGGGAGGAGAGTAGTGTGACTCAGGACTTAGAGAACATAAATCCTCCTTTCTCCTGCTTTTGCTGTTGTGTCTGTTAAAATTGGGTGACATGAGATGTAATAATTTACGCAGTCCTGAACAGACCTGTCCTCAGAGCCACCATATGGTAGTCATCTGGGTTCCCTGAGGAGTATGTTGGCCTGACCAGTGCAGATAGAAATCTGGATTTACCTGAGTGCGGGTGTGGCTTTACCTCTGTTCACACAGGATTTCTTTGGGTCAAGAGTCACAGGGAGCTAGTTTTCGTCATTCCATGGTTTGCCTATGTTCTGTTTTTTTGGAATACAGCAGAGAAGGCATTTGTCCTTTTTTCCCTCTGTGAACGTGTGGTGAAGATAAACTGAACCATAAAATATTAGTGTCCATTTTTATTTCATGTTAGTTTTGGTTTTTGTGTTTTAGATTTATTTAATTTATTTATATATTTTAGTTTGAGAAAACTTAGTTGTTGACTAAGTTCTTGGTTAAAAATAAACATTGTTTTCT